TGAGAGGACTTACATACACCCACGTGTGCATCCCAACCTGCCCATCCAAACACATTCAGAAAGAAAGACACACAAACCTACAAGAGAGAGAGAGAGAGAGAGAGAGAGAGAGAGAGAGAGAGAGAGAGAGAGAGAAAGGATGGGAGGGAAAGACTTGTCTAGCCTTCCAGAAGACTGACTCAGGAAGAAACTTGCATGTAAAGCTTCGATCCTACATGACTGAAGCATGTTGTTGTTGTTGTTACCATCTCATGAGAAGCATGCTACAGAAGAACCATAGCAAGACATTTTTAAGTATGAGGCTAAAGAGAATCCTAGTAGGCAGAACTGTACATGAAAAATCACCAGCATGCTTCTTTTCCTTCCACTAGTCTACCTAAGCCAGCCTCCTTCTCCATCCAAGTTTATACAACTAAGCTCTCCTGGAACAAGAATGTCCCCCATCATCTGTCATAGGGATTGTTTTCCCCATAATCCCTTAAGAAAAGAAAAATAGCAATTATTTTATATTTCATTAATTTCTATAAGCCAGTCACTTTTTAATTTTTAATCTTTCAGGTAGGTATTGAGTAAATACACTAGTGTTAATGCAATTTATTTATATGACAGAAATAGGATAAGAACTGTGTTTAGGAAATTAAACTCCGAAATCCTAACTGCAATTAGCTTATCATCTCTCTTTAAAGCATAGGGAGGGGCTGGGAAGGTGGCTCAGTGGTAGAGTGTTTGCCTAACATGCATTAAGCCCTGGGTTCAATTCCTCAGCACCACATAAGCAGAAAAAGCCAGAAGTGGTGCTGTGGCTCAAGTAGTAGAGCGCTAGCCTTGAGCTGAAGAGCTGAGGGACAGTGCCCAGGCCTAGAGTTTAGGCCCTACTACTGACAAAAAAAAAAAAAGGAAGAAAGAAAAGAAAAAAGCATAGGGAAACTAGAATCATTTCAACAAAAAGAAAATAAAAGATAACCGGAGAAATAAATTTACTTTTGTGTAAAAAATTAGATTCAAATATGACATTCATCTCAGTAATATTTATAATGGGGAAATAATTAGGAACAACATCAATGCCCAACAGCGATTAGATGAAAGGTTATCAATATCTTGACTTGTTGGTTTTTGTTTTTGTCCATCCTGAGGCTTGAACTCTGGGCCTGGGTGCTGATCCTAAGCTCCTTTTGCTGAAGGCTAGCTCTCTACCACTTGGGCCACAGTGCTACTTTCAGCTTTTTCTGAGTGGTTTTATTGGAGATAGTCTTTTTTTTTTTTTTGGTTCAGTCGTGGGGCCTGAACTCTGGGTCTGGGCGCTGTCCTTCAGCTCTTCAGCTCAAAGCTAGCGCTCTACCACTTGAGCCACAGCGCCACTTCCGGCTTTTTTCTTTTGTGGTGCTGAGGAATTGAACCCAGGGCCTCAGGCATGCAAGGCAAGCGCTCTACCACTGAGCCATCTTCCCAGCCCCATGGAGATAGAGTCTTATAGCTTACAGCCTTTGCTGTCTGGGCTGGCTTCAAACCACAATCCTCAGATCTCAGCCTCCTGAGTAGCTAGGATTACAGGGGTGAGCCAGCAGAGCCTGGCTGGTTCACACTCTTTTAAAAAATTCCAAAGATCTACCTTGTCTCTCAAGCACAGAACAGCCTGATTATGCCATCACCTGAAAATGTACCACATCTGAACTAACAAAACCCAAGAATCTTATTTTCTAATCACTACCAGAGATCCATGCAAAAACTTTAAATTCCCTTGCTTAGTTGTGGGTTTAATTCACAAGGCTCTGTATCTTGTCTCAACAAGTTTCCACCATTGTTGTCATTTTGCTCATCTTTCATTTATTCCTCAATCCAATGTATCTGGTTCCTGTCCCCATATGAAAATAGCCCTAATAAATATGACTGACCTCTTGACTCCCTAAATCCAATGGGTGCACTAAGATTTAGCTTTTGGCTAAATTCTTTTCATCCAGGCTTGTACAACATCATTAACTTTTTGTTTCCTACAATTTTTTTTTTTTTTTGGATCGGTCATGGGGCTTAGACTCTGGGCCTGGGTACTGTCCCTCAGCTCTTTAGCTAAAGGTAAGCACTCTACCACTTGAGCCACAGAGCCATATCTGGTTTTCTGGTTGTTAATTGGAGATAAGAGTCTCACAGACTTTCCTGCCTGGGCTGGCTTTGAACCATGATCCTCAGATCTCAGCCTCCTGAGTATCTAGGATTACAGGCACATACAACCAGCACCTGGCTGCTTTCTACAATTCTTTTGGGCAGTTCTTGGATCTCCAAGCATATCTAGACCATTTTATTCCTTAAGGCTATGTTCTCCCATATCTAGCTTCTGACCTTATTTAATGAAAGCTAAAGAAATTAAGGGAATGCAAAATCAAAACTGAGGTGAACCAAGATGAACTCAGCTCCCTATTATTTCTCTGGACTCAGACATTGCTTTGTATTCTTTGATTGCAAATGAAAAAAATACAATTTCATCCAGTTTAAGTGAATAATTGTAATTTACCAATTTACATCACCAAATCATAGAATGTATTGCACCTTGGGAATGCGTGGAGACAGAAACATGATTACTACTGGGACTTTTGGTCTATTATAACCTAGGGGGAAAAGTACCAGGAAGACCAAAAAAGAAAAAAAAACCCACAAAACACAACAAACAAGTTATCAGCACATGGAGCTAATTTCAGATTAGAATCAATAGGAGAAGTCCAAGTCAGTGGACAAAAAGCAGTTGTCTAGGGTTAATGTCCAAAATCATGTAATTCACTTGAAAATGCACTGAACAAAAAGCAGATGGATATAAGTATGGATAAATAGACAGACTAATAAATGTAAAATGTTAAAGGTAAAATCTTGATGGCTATATAAGGTGATCACTATAAAAATGGACTTTTCTGTATATGACACTTAAGGCGACAAAATTTTGAGGTGGGAGATCAAGCAAAACTCTCATGACTGTGGTGATTAGCCTTTTATTTTAATCGCTCAGAATTCTAGCTCCAGAGTAAAGGGATAAAAACAAAACAAAACAGGTCTTATAGGCAAAGAAAAAGGAGAACTTACAGAAGCTAATGATTTTTCCAAAATATATATCAGATTATTTCTACTAAAGTAGGCAGCAGCTACTTTAGTACTAAAATCAAGATGTTAAAGAGAAATTAGATATAGGCCTTCTGTGATAGCTCAAGAAGTGGCCATTAGAATTCAGAAATGTTAAGAGAAACAACATAAAAATGATCATTCTATTGACATTATTTGATTCTATTTCATTGTCAATACACTGCCCATTAATTTGAATGTAAATTTCTCACTTGGACCATGGAGTAGGTGACAGGATCTGTAAGTGAAAAGGAAATGCACCAGAAGAACATGTTTGTGGTGGCTGACAACTTATGAATTTGCTTTTGGCAGCTTAAAGTTTAGCCACATGTAAGTGCTAAAGTCCATGTGGTCCAGAATTCAGGATGTCTGAGCATTAGGATGGAATTGGGATTATCATTTAAAATGCTGTATGGAAAGCCATGATCCTGGGAAAAATCATCCAGTATATACAATAAGAAATGATTCCTTTTGTCATCCAGTCAACAAAATGTCATAGTTACTAGGCATACAAATAAAAAGAACATTTTTAAGAGCTCATAATAACTTCCTGATTGCCAAGTAGTGAGCTACAAGCAATTTAACTTACTTCTGTACAATTTACTTGTTTGTTTACTTCTTCATTGGAAATTCTCCTCTGGTGACATTCAGATCACTATTTATTTCCCTACTTGCAGATTGACCTTTTCAGTCCCAGAACTTTTCATTTTCAGGAAATAACCCTTAGTCCTTAAATCCACATTTCTAGTCGCGTACTTTCCACTTGTTTCAAGTCAAAGTTCAATACCCATTTTGAAACACAATGAAAGTGTGTTGGAAGGACAACATGGGAAATGCTATCCATCTTGGAGACCCACTGATTGAGCTTGTAGAGCTCTAACCGTTTCAATTTATCTGATTTCTCGGGTCCTAAAAACGGTGACAAATACTTAACTTGCAGATACTACTACTCACATTAACGTACAAATGTGTAACACTACTTTGATGCTCTACCTAGTCACTAACTTCCGATGAACACTCTAAAGTATGCCAAATTACGGTGTAAATATCTGATCCCCATGACCTGTCATAAAACCTGTAACAGTGGGTGAGCACTTCTCTTCCATCGTGTAACTCAGGTCGCACGCATTAACTCACTTCTCCCATCTCTCAGTATTAAGGACAAGATCTAAGTAAATGTCCCCACAGCACACACGCACACGCACAATCTGAAGTAGCGCTGTGGTTCTAAGTGGGATAGCGTTAGCCTAGAGCGACAAAACTCAGGACGGTCCTGAGTTCAAGCCCCGCGATCGACAAAACAAACAAAACAAAACCCCACAATTAAACACGATATCTCGTTTGTCTGCTGGCCACTCAGAGTAGAGGAGCTGCAAGTCAAGCACGGTCCAGGAAAAGAGACGAAATCCCAAGTTTCATCTTTCCCGCCGGCTCTCCGAGAACCAACCCCACCGAGTTCTCTAGCTTCCTCGGCTCCACTTCCGCCCGCGCACCTTCATGACGTCATCACCCCAGATCTCGCGGTAACACCCGGTTGCTGAAGCCCTTTAACAAAGGTCTCGCGGAATTTGTTCTACGGTGCCGAGGGCCCGTCTCTCTCCCCGACCTCCCCCCCGTCAACTCCCCCCTCGCCCCGTCCTGCCCTTCCTCTGTCTTTCCAAGTCACAAAAGTCTGCCCTCCCCTTCCTCAAACTCATCTCCCGCCTCCGGTTTCCGATTTTAGACCGGAACCGGAAGTCCTGTGGGCAGGGCCCTAAGCGGAAAACGCTGCTGAGCCGGAGCCGGGACACGGCTGTGGCCACCCTCCGGTCCACCGCCACGGGTCGCCCGGCGGCAGCGCGGTACGGCTCCAGGCCGAGGGCCGTCCCGGAGGCGGGTGGGCGCGGGTCTCACCCGGGCGGTCCGGGCGGCACGGGCCCCGGGCCCCGCGGGCGCCGCTGGGGATCATGTCTACAGCCTCCGCCGCCTCCTCCTCCTCCTCGTCTTCTGCCAGTGAGATGATCGAAGCCCCGTCCCAGGTCCTTAATTTTGAAGAGATCGACTATAAGGAGATCGAAGTGGAAGAGGTGAGCGGGGCCCGGCCTTCCCATGTCTCTGCCTGGTCTCAGCAGAGACGGCATCGCTGGACCTCTCTTGCTTCGTAGGCTGGCGCTCTCTCTCCCTCTCTCCGTCTCCCCTTTCCCCCCTTCTCTTCCTCTCCCCCTCTCCCTTTCTCCCCTTCTCGCCCTCTCTCCCTGTCTCTCCTCCCCCCCCCCCACGTCCTTTCTGCTCCACAGAGATGTGGGGGGGGGAGGGGAATGTGTGAGACCGTGTGGGAGGGAGGAGTAGTGTGTGTGAGAGGTGTGTATGAGAGGCGTGTGTGTGTTTGAGAAAGAGAGCGAGTGTGTGTATGTGTTCGTTCGTGTTCACTTTTCTACTTAGTTTGAATTTGATTCACTTGAAGCAAAAGGATGGACTGGTGCAAAAGAGTGGTCCACCAGTTCTTTAACTGTAAGTGGTAAATTCAGCAAAGACGGTGACAGTTCTGGAAAAGTCCAGTGTGCTCGACACGATATCATTAAGAACCGTAATTTTTGTTGAACGTTTCATTTCTGCCTCAGTGTCCCTTGTGTAGGGATGCGTGATGCATGTTTGTTAAGTTGTATAAAAGTGTTTCCCTTAGGGTGAAGTGGTTCTCTTTACGTTACATAGGCAGTCCTGGTGCTGTTGAGTAGTCTTAACACCAGTTGGACTAATTTAATTTCGCTATTAGCCACATGGGTCTATGGTGAAGAGATGGTTCAAGTAGCATATTTTAAAGAGTTAATTAATGATGACGATGACAGCCAGATAACGCCAGACCAGAAATCGTGGTTAGAAAAGCTCAATCCGTTCTTTATTCTTCAATTGTTATTATTAGAGCAAGGTGTTCCAGTGTTCCTTTATACATGGGCTTTACAGATTACAGTGGGTACATCGGTTCTAACGACAACAAATTAAGTTTTAAAAACTGTATACATCTGTTTTAGACACTTCAAAAGTTGTTTAAAATTTTGGTTGGAAATAGTTGCTTCATACAGTTACTATTTCTTTCTTTTTTTTAATAAAGCACTTTGTATTACGCTGTGGATCCTGATGAAATACTAGATACTGAAAGTTCCATCTCTAAAAAACTAAAATTACTTAGTAGTAGCAGCATTTTATAGTAGTTTAAGATAGCTAATTAACATTAAATGAATATATTTTTCCCATTCACGTTTTGGAATAAGGGATTACTGAATTATATTACTGAATTACATATTTCATCACATAAATTGACTTCATAGAACATCCTTCATTGAGAACATTTACATCTTAGAAAGTACTGTGGTGGAAAGAACAAGATTTGGGATGTTAAGAATATTCACTACATCAGCTTTGCTGCTTATTAGCTATGTCATCTGAGAGCAGGTTTCCTACCTCCTTTGTGCTTTAGTTTCTTTAACTGTAGTTACTTCCCTTAATTATAAAATAAGACTAACGATTACTATTTTAGTATATCTGTATAACAGATCCCATTAAACAATCTGTGCAAACCACTCAATACAGTGCCTGACATACATCATTAGGAAGCAGTTCCAGATCAGAACAGTGACCTATTTTAAGGTCACATTGCTAAAAGAAGACCTGTATTTTGAAGAGGAAGAACATTTTTGGTGTCTTAGCCCCTCCACCCTATTGAGACCATAATAAATTTCTTTTTCAGAAGTAGTTCCAGCTTTCATGTCTAACATTCTTTTTTAAGAATAAAAATTCAATGAGTCATTATACAAGAATTGCAGTTTTTAAATAAGCATTTACGTCTACTATGGTGTACTGTTATGCTTGTGGATGTTATATAATAATAACTTGTACTTGATGGTTTACCAAATGCTTTCAAGACTTGGTTTGATTCTTGCAACTCTACTTTTTTGCACAGTGCTTTTTTTTACATTCTTCCTTCATGGAACAATGCAAGTTACTAAGGAGACTTTATCAGTTTAGTGCTATTCTTCCCAAATTATTTCACTTTTGGTTAGGACTTTCATGTTCCTAGACCTTTCTTTTATTTCTAACCCTTTTCTCAGTTTTGGCATATTTATGACATTCCTGGAAAGTAAAAGTAGATTTTTGTCTTTGTGTTTAGATTAAAATGTATTTTATTGGGCAATAGTTTTGTCTTTTTTTGTTACCTGTGTTTCATCTTTTAGCACCTAATTTATTTTTTATCAGAGATTCAGTTCAGACCTTTCTGATGCAAAACGGTTACTTGCTTTCATAGTCTTCATTTGGGTACATTGAAATTGTAATCTGTGGTGCACAAATGGCACTCAACGCTATTTAACTTATATTCCGATATTAGGTTGAAACATGAATAGTAAAACAAAGAAAGATGACCCAAACAAAAAGTATTTTACATTATTTTCAGTATTTTATATGGGCAAGTATATTGCATTTTACATTAAGAAAATAATAGAATAGAGACGTATCTTAGTGATGGAGTGCTTGCCTTGCATGCCTGAGGCCCAGAATTCAATTTCCTAACTCTGAAAAAAAAATAGTAAAATCATACTTTATTTCTCAAATTAAAAAGTATATGTATACTCTATTTCTCAAATAACTATAATTGAGGCAGAATTACATAACTAAAAACTGTAAAATAAAATTTCCAACCAGTCAACTATGCAATTTCTTAGTAATACATATTTCTTAGACATCAGTTGCTTTCAATCATTGTACACCTCTACTATTATGACTCAGAACTGTATTTGACACTTTCAAAATTCAATTTGGCTATCAAATTATGCAAGTTTACAGCCTCAGAAATTTTATCTAAATACTGTTTTGTTTTGTTTTTTAAGTCATTCAGTGTTTAGCTTCTTAGATCTGGGTATAGATAATGATAAATTGTGAACTACATACATTGAAGTTGCTAAAGCAAAAGAGTAATAAATATGATGTGGTGAAAAGTACCAGGATGGGTATTTAGGAAATTTAGATACTTGTACTGATACCTTTCTATAATTTTGAGCAAGTTGTCCAGGCTTGTGATTTCTCTTTTAAAATGAAGGATTGAACAAGATCATTTGAGGTCTCTTCCACTTCTAAAATGCAAACATATTCATTATTCCGATATTTATGTTTGTTTCCACTGTAAGCTTAGAAGCTTAAAAGTTCTTTGAGGACAGTGATCATGATCTCCCAATGGAATTTAGTTGGCGACTAATTTTGAGTAAACAAGGCAAATGATAGCCCATTTTATTGTTATTAACAAGTGGTAAAGTTTGATTTGCCAGAAGCCGCGTGTCTAAGCAAATGTTAGAGCTTGGGGACTTGAGATTTCTCCATCATGAGTCATTTGCTCTTTTCACTGGATTTACAATGTCACTTTAGTACTCTATAATGAAACTTTATTTGGGAATGGAGATACACAATATTATTTCCTTTATAGTAGTTAGTCTTGAACATTTAACATGCAGTCTCCTCTGTACACAATACTGAAGTTCCATGAAAGATGAATAAAAGAATACTAGAATTATCTTCTGAAAAGTATCTGACTCATGACTAGAATAAACAGAACTATTTATTCTAATTTTGAGTAAAGAGTAAAATGAGCATGTAATCCATCATTTGAAAGTTAATTACAAAAAGCTCCATTGAATGGGGACAATTTTTAAACTAGGTTCCAGATAAAGTTACATCATGGGTTGCAAAAGACACTAAGATGACTTTGCTTTTGTTCTCTGTGCCTAAAGTGCTTCCCCCAGAACTTCACCGCTGACTTGCACCTACTGATGAAGAAAGTGGTAAAGTCTACCTCAAATGTCTCTTCTCTAGAGAGGCTTCCCCACAAGCCACCTAGATCTTCCTTGTTTCTGTTGTCTTGCCTGAGAGACAGCAATCAGTTGTGTGAGATGAATAATGTAAAGTGTCCTTTTCATATTTGTAACCCCAGTGCCTAGTACCTCAAAATGAAATCTGGTTCCTATTCCAGTATTGATTCCATTGCATTCCTGTTATATTTAGCAGATACTTTTGTTTAGCAAAAGTAAAAGTTGCTATGAAGAGCCATGTCCTGGGAAGGGGCCAACCATTGGTAGGCCTTCACTGAAGTACTAAAAAGCTCTTTTTACAATGGTTGCTTTGTAAAAGAGATCCTGAATGTTGATCCTAACTGTAGTATATGAGTAAGCAAATTGGGCACATATAACCACTCAGACATTTATAAGTATTATTAAGCTTCATTTACAAGACACACAAAGGTTTTGTTTCAAAAGCTAAAATGTACTTCCGCAGTGATGTATATTTTGTATGGTTTGGTTATAAATATGTGGACAACTGATACTAGAGAAAAACCTAAAATTACAGTGATCTGAATAAACTGAGTGTGTAGATTGTTGGCCATTATTTATTTGCGGGCATACAAACTAACTTTTCCATGTGAAACTATATGACCATTGATTTTGATAGAAATCCAGATTGGTTATTGTAGTTAAGAAGTAGCTTTAGAAATAATATTTTGTGGGCTGGGAAGGTGGCTCAGTGGTAGAGCGCTTGCCTTGCATGCATGAGGCCCTGGGTTCAATTCCTCAGTACCACATAAGCAGAAAAAAAAAGCCGGAAGTGGCGCTGTGGCTTAAGTGGTAGAGCATTAGCCTTGAGCTGAAGAGCTGAGGGACAGTGCCCAGGCCCAGAGTTCAGGCCCACGACCGACCCCCCCCACCAAATCATATTTTGTATTGCACATGTGTAGCTTAACTGATAGCTTGAGCATAGTATTTGAAGAAAAGGCTTATTAAATGGCTCAGATGTTTTATGGAAAGCTTTAAAAGACTACAGAAAAAAAGACTAATCGAAGTTTTACTTTTATGTTATCTAGTTTGTCTTGTCAGCAGATGGCAGTTCTGCTCAGCCATAGTTTATTAATAGATATTGAAGCTCTGAAATAGTTGGAGGCCCCAACTCCTCTAATAAATGTAAGATCTATGCTTGTTCTGTCATGTTCCAGATGTCTAGCCAGAGCCATCACAGAATAGCCAGTGGCTTATTCACACAGTCCATAGAACAG